GGACTAGAAGGCAGGAGGGGACAGGAAAGCTGGTGATAGGGAACCCAAGGTTGAGAAGGGACAGTATTGACATGTTGTGGGGTTGTTAACCATTGTCATAGGGCAATATGCATACTAACTATTTAATAGAAACTATTTTGTTCTGTAAACCTTCATCTAAAGTACAACAACAACAAACAAAAGAATTATCTATGTGAGATCAAATTGACAACAGCAACTCAGAAGGTTTGATGGGAAGCCTAGGGGACAGTGAGTTGAAGACAATTGTGATGGAATAATTTGGAAAAGGACAGTGAGAACAGCAGCACAACTGGAAGAATGTAATCGATGTCACCAAATTGTACATGTAGAAATTTTTGAAATGGTGTATCTTTGGCTATGTATATTTTCACCAAAAAAAAAAAAAGTTCCTCCAAGGTCGAGAAGGGAGAGTGTTGACATGTCATGGGGTTGTTAACCAATGTCATAAAACAATATGTGTACTGACTGTTTTATGAGAAACTATTTGTTCTGTAAACCTTCACCTAAAGTACAATAAAAAAAAAATTAAAAAAACAAAAACCAAACAAACAAAATAACATGCTAAACTTGATGTGTAGTAATGTTTTTGCATTAGTGTATTAACTATTTAAACGAACTGGCAGTAGCTGTTCTATCACATTAGATTAGCTAATAATATATATATGAGTTTTACTTACCAGGATTTCATTGACATGTAAAGATGCTCAGTTCTCTTGAAGACCTTGTCTGGACTATCAGGTTCAATGGATTCACCAGAATCATTGGAATCAATAATATTATCCAACTATAGATAAGAGGAATAAACTTAAGGAGGCAGTCTACCAATAAGCCAGATACCTTTTTACTCCATTCACTATCCCTTACGTTATGGGCCCTGAGATAGTAAGAACATCCTCCACTGGATGAACGGTGGTGCTCATTCTGGGAATATCAACCAACCTCACCTACTGGAACCAGCAAAGTTTCTGGCAGACCCAAAGTCAATTTTCTTCTCCTGAATCCCCACGCTCCTGGTACAAGTTTTCTATTGGGTGAAATCGCTATTTATCTTTCTGTTTCATGCCTAGGCCCTTAGTGGAAGGAACTCTTTTCCTCAATCAGTTCTGCTGCAAAATCTTGTAGCCTGGATGGGTCACAGATTCAGACACAGTGCAGATCTGGCCTAGGCTGCTGTGCTCACAGGCAGCCCAAGTTGCTTCAGGAGGCTGCGAGGGTCCTAGAAAATACTGCCCTTGGGAAATCCTCAACTAGCCGCTTAGCTCTAAGACAGTCGTTTGGGGCAAGGGTTGCTCAAAAACCCTGAAGACCTTCTTCTTACCTATCATAACAAGCTCATCGTTAACCTGCAATTGGAATACTTCATTCCAGCCAACCTAATCTCATTACTCCCTGTACAAACTGCTATTCTGGTGCCCATATTCATGCTGTTTCCTTCACCTAGGATGCCCCTTTTCTTTTCTGCCTATTAAAATTGTGTTTAGGCCTGGCTGAAGTCCCTCAGCCTCCTCTGACCACTTCAGCTGCTGCTGACGTAACCCTTCTCTGAAATTCTGTTACACATTTTGTCCTTTATTTGTTTACTTTTAGCTTAGTATTACCTACCTTACTAGTATCCCATAAAGTACCTAGCAAATGCAAGTCATATAATTGATACTCAACACACACCAGATTGGTTGGACTATCACAAAGGACTAGTCGCCATCACTGTGTCCCAGGGACAATAGTGTGAGAAATTTTTTTGGAAAAGTAGGGTCCTATGGTCAAAGGAGATTGGGATATGCTGTATGTGGTAGCCTGTTTGGCTATTTATAACTCACAATTGCATACTAAAGGCTCTGAGAAATCTGCATTTCAGAAGCCTGTTTAACTTAGTTTACCTTGGTGTTTCTACAATTTATTTAACCCCAGGACAGTTCTTTTGTGTGAATACATGTTATGATCTGTCATGGATTGAATTATGTCCCCCAAAAATGTGTGTATCAATTTGGCTGGGCCATGATTCCCAGTATTGTGTGGTTGTCCTCCATTTTGTGATTGTAATTTTATGTTAAAGAGGATTAGGGTGGGATTGTAACACCCTTTCTAAGGTCACACCCCTGATCCAATGAAAAGGGAGTTTCCCAGGGGTGTGGCCTGCACCACCTTTTATCTCTCAAGAGATAAAAACAAAAGGGAAACCAGTGTAGAGGGGGGACCTCATACCACCAAGAAAGCGGTGCCGGGAGCAGAGTGCATCCTTTGGACCCGGGCTCTCCGTGCGGAGAAGCGCCTAGTCCCGGGGAAGATTGTCCCGACAGAGAGAGAAAGCCTTCACCTGGAGCTGATGCCCTGAATTTGGACTTTTAGCCTACTTTACTGTGAAGAAATAAATTTCTCTTTGTTAAAGCGATCTACTTGTGGTACCTCTGTTACAGCAGCACTAAGATAACTAAGACACCATCTTATAGAAAACCCTCAGTTTAGGAAATTCTACAGAGACCTCCCTCCCTCCATTTTGGTATTCCTACCTCCCACTTTCTTTCTCTTCTCTCAACAGTCCACTTCAAATATAGCTGCTGGACTAAAATTACCCATTGCCATCAAGTCGATTCTAACTCATAGCAACCCTTTTAGGATAGAATAGAACTGCCCCATAGGATTTCCTAGGTTTTAAATCTTAACGGACGCAGACTACCACATCTTTCTCTCAAAGAGTGGCTGGTGGGCTCTAACTGCTGACCTTTTGGTTAGTAACTGAGTGCTTAACCACTGTGCCATCAGGGCTCCTTGGGCTAATAATACTTGAAGATAATTCACTGCCTCTGTGTTGCCTACAAAATGAAGTCAATTTGATATTCAAGACCCATCATTGCCTGGCTCTTGTTTCTGTTTTACTTCCCATTGTGGCCATTAATTCACTCTAGGTCCCAGCCCAACTGAACTATGTACTATGCACATTTCAAATGCCATTTCTTCTCTGAAGCCTTCCCTGACACCTATGGAGAGAGAAAATGTGTCTTTTTTCTATTGTTTCAGAGCACTTTGACCATATCTCTTGGGTAGTATGATCATGTGGTAACTGATAAGCTGTAGGCTCTGAAGGCAGGAGTGATGCCCGGCTCATTACTGTAGCCACCACTCCTAGTACGGTACAGTTCCTAGCACACAGAAGGCACTTAGTGAAGGCTTCTAGTTGATTAATAGACTGATTGATAGGTACCACACAATTTATCACCCAATAACATTTGTCCATATTGTTCTTTCTGCCTAGAATGTCTTCCATCAACTTCCAAGTCCAAATTCTATCCATTGTTCAAGTAAAGTCAAATGTGATCTCCTTCCCTGGTCTTCTTGGCTGCAAGTCAGCTCCCCCTTGCCCATCCCTCATGAATTCCTGTGGAATTTTGTGAGCATCTCTCTTCAGCATGGAGCCCTTTTCTGTCTTGTGTTATGGTTGTCTCCTATTCAGGTGTCACCCTGTGAGTACATCATCTGTGTCCAGCTCACCTCTGAGTCCCCACTGAACCCAACTTAGCGTCTCGGAAACAGCACATGGCAGGGGCTCAGTACATATTTGTTGAAAGACTGAATGGTTAATGGATGGAAAGGGTTACCTCTAAAAGAACACTCCGGGGTCTAATATAATAACCCTCTTCTTCTTCATCCTGAGTGGTCTCTGCAGAGAAATCTTGTGAAAGATGAGCTTGCCTGAATCCTGGAGAACTTTTTTCCGTGAAATGCTAAATAAAAAGAGATGAAGACAGAATCTATGCTTTGCTTTTTCTTTGCAAGAGACAGAATTAAGCCATATGCTTTCTTGAGAAGCTGTAATAGATTAGTTGGATTGAGAAAATCAGAGTATCTTCCAATGTTACATCCAGAAGCCCACACGACTTGAACTTGCCTCCTGTCCTGGGTCTCCACAGATGCCATAAAAATATAAGCACATGGTTCTCTACCACTGGGAACTATAACTCAGAACAAGTGGTTTTCTCTCATGGGTAGTATTCTAAGTCACTAAGTTCTGACATAGAGTCCCCACCCCTACACCCCATCTTGTTCCAGTTATCATCCAGTGCCATCTGAGAAAGTAATCAGCCCAGAGTCAAGGCAATGCACCTTTCCTCTTCCTGCTCAATATTCCTCTTTTGTGTTCTGCTCACGTACTTCTATTGTTTCCATAGCAATACAATTTGGTAGTGCTGATTATGTGATGGCATGAATTATAGGCTTCGAGGTCATCTAGGTTCAACCAATTACTGCCTTCCCTCCCCCAATAGATATAAGATACTGTACTAAAGTAGCTGCTTTGCATGGCAGGAAAATTGTTATAAGTACAATTTAATTCTTCCAAGAACAATATTGTAGAGCAGGGGTTTTAAAAAAGATCCTGAATGTTTTCTAGTAAGGCCTTGAAAGAATGTTATTTAAAAAAAAAATAGATGTATTTAAGTTGCATCCATTTTTCTAGCTCCAAGCTCATGAAGCCAGGCCATGCTGAGTTGGGGGTAAAGAAGGGTTACCACTTAATCTCAACAACAACAAACAAACAACAAAGACCCAGCAACACAAACTTTACTCTTAACTCCAGCTGGTTGAAAATCACTGGCTCTGAATACATAGTGTGAAAAGGTAAGAAGACCAGTAGTGTTATCTCGGGCGGGGGTGGGATGGGGGAGGAGGCGGAGTGACAGCAGGGACATCATGAATAAAAAACAAGAGGCATTTGCTGAAAAGGACTAGCTTTCCCAACTCAATTTCATACCACCTTTGGTACTCATTAAATGAATAACTGAGATGAAGTGTTTGGCCTGGTGAATTTGATATGCTACAAAAAGCTTTTAAAATAGTTGGAGAGCTGCCCACTAGATAAAACAGGAGGTTATGCCACATTAAGATGGGCTTGGTACCCAGGGAGATAGCAAAGTCAATGGTTATGTCTCTAAGGGATGAACTATCATCTATGCAGGAGGAGAACAAATAAATCTCAGCCCATTTATTAATAATATCCAAAGTTAGAGAGAGAGCAAATCCAAGAAAGCTGAAGGTACAATGCAAATTACTTCTGAGGGCAAGTGTATTGAATTTACCCTCCTAAATGGACTTCACTTCTTCCTATATATAAGGAGAAGCATTTACCGATGAGAGTAAATGAAGAAAATTAATAGACGCTCTGCCTTTGCCTGAAGAGTACAGATGGTGCGGCAGGAAGTCAACTGGTGTTTTGAGAATCTTTTTACAGAGGTAATCTATGCCCTGTGTGTGAAGGAAGGAAAAGGTTGCCAGCCAGGCTTCTGTTTAACCAAAGGTCTCTCAGCCCAGTATACACAGATGCATGCCATGGAGCATCGAAAATGAATGGATGCATTTAGAAGTATGTGGGGACAAGCAGTAAGACTTGCCTGTGATATGGGAAACAGACTAAATAAATATAGGAAAAATGTTACAGCTGAGATGCATTCATACAGTAGCTTAGGCTTTGAGGAAGGTGGACAAGGTGTCAAATTCAACTGCTAATTGCCAAGATTTTGAAGCATTAGCTAACTTCCTGGAATGGTATCCTGAGAGAGAATGAGGTAACTCCAATTACCATGTTTGGAAGACTGATTCTTGAAGAAGTGGAGCTGACAGCCTCTGGTGTACTGGAAGGACCAAGAAGAGGGCTAGGGTCTGAAGTGGGCCGTTTATCACCCAACGAGAGACTCTCCTGATTATGAAAAAGGAATAGTGCAGTCAGGGCCTGGTTGATCTCTTGTCTGGAATAAAACAGCATTCTCTCTTCCCGTTGGGCCTCCTGCCCCTAGTCTCTCACTAAGACAAGAGCTGATCTTATCTTTCTCCTATTCCCAAACCCTTGAGGTTTCTCAGCCTGGCCTGCAGAGCCCCCTGATTTTGCCCTCAACCTGTCTTTTGAACCGTTTTTCCTTCTACACCCCATCTCCCGTGCCCCATTCTATTCTATTTGTAAATGTGCCTTCCATTCTCCTTCTCTTCTGTTTCTGTTATAAGCATAGAACAATCTAGATAACACATGAAAAACCACACCTAGAGGCCAAAGTTCCATTTATAAAAATCTACCCGAAGAAAAGATTTGTGTAAATTAGCAAAGGCCCTTATGAAGTAAATTAAAAACTTAAAGCTACTAACATTTACATTAAAAAGATATTTTATTAAAAATGTAAGATGATAGGTGAAAAACATTTTTATAAAAACCATCTTAGACTTAATTATAAGTCTTACTTATACCTTAAATAATAGTGATGGAAAATACTATAGTTTCAACTACTATTAAAAAAATGTACAGTTAAAACTTTCACTCCCCCTACCACGTGAAAATCTAAAGTGTCTGTATTTTAGTTCTCTCTCAAAACACTGAAGTATTTTTTCCTATTGTTAATCATAAAAATAGCAAGTACGTACATTTTCTCACTTATTTATTCCTTGTATTAATGCCAGTTGCTAAGGGGGAAAAAAAAGCTACCACTGTTGCCCTGTGAAAGGGGGCTGTGTTCAGGCGCCCTGTTATTTTATTAGCAATGTAAAGTCACCTCTGTATTTTGATGTGTTGCTTTTATATCCCAGCAAAATGATGACATGAAGGAGACCCAGTCTTTAATCTTCTCCCTGTTGACAGGAATAAATTTTCAGCCGGCATGTGGCAACAATAGCACCTGTGCTCCTTCTGAACCAGAGGAGGATTCTTTTATTCAGGTTTGAACAGGCAGTAGGAGCAGGCACCAGAGAAATAAGGATTTTTTCCTGAGTAGCTTAAATGACCCACCGCTCCTCACCACCTCCACACTTGCAGGCTCGAATTAACTCTCGTGCCACCTCTGCGAGGAAGCACAGAGAAATGGGAAGAAAAGTAGAAAATAATAGTAGCATGTAATCACAGGCTTTGGAGCTTTTGGCTTTGACACTGATTCTTTTGTGTCCCTAAGCAAGCGCCCTAACCTGTCAGTGCCATTTTTGTGTGGCTATCCAGGTGTGCTGCCTCTTAGGTGGGAATGTATTTGAACTGAATTCATATAAACCACATCTTTTTCCCCCGTTGACTCATATGACAATTTAAAGAAAACTTTTCGTGTTTTGAGCACTCTGAACAGATCAAGGTGCTTCATACTTTAGCTTTAACATTTGCAGCTGCCTCTGCACAGCCTCATCCCTGCACCTCAGCTTCCTATAGGCACCTTTGCTGGCAGAAGGGACCTCTCTTATAAACTGGAGACTCCTCCTGGGATAAGCCGAATCCCTCCCTAATATATGTTGCTTGTATAGACGTTTGTGTCTTGGGTTCTTTTTTTTGGTTGAGAAAAGTTATTTTTATTGCTCTGGGAGATGGGGATCTTGGGTTCTTTTACATGGACTGCATCTGGGGTGATAGTGACGTTTCAGGGTATTTTAACAAATAATGGAAATTGCCAAGATGGTGTTTAAGTTTGTGGCCAGGGGTTTTTGTTCAGAGGATGCTTACTGTTCATTCAAAGTGTTTATTATATATATAATATATATATATATATATATACATATACATATATATATACACACATATTGCACACAGAAGACACTCTGTGTTATCTTACTACTTACCTGTCATGGCCAATGAGAAAGTAATCCCTATTAGTGGTTCTGATGGACATCACCTCCTCAGGGTGGCATTTAAACATCTTCTGTACTGATTGCATTTTTTCATGGCTACTTATGCCAACTTCTACAATGGCATTTCTGTTAGATACAGACATAAAGTAGTAAGCAGATGCAAATACAAAATTAGGAAGAAAATAGACATAATGTTTTATAGGAAGATCCAAACTAGGCAAAAATGTTAGAGATACTTGATAAATATTTTGAAAATTGTTTTCTAAAATACTTTTACAAAATAAGTTTGACTTGGATTCACTCCCTGATTGAAAATACTTTCTTTAGCCTGAAGTTTAATTAAAACATTCCTATTTTAGTTTGATTCTTAGTTTCACAAATTATTATGTCTTTCAATTTTTTTGGTTCATAATTTCTTAAAGAGGATAAAAAATTAAATATTAAAAAAAATTCATGTTGACTTTATGAAATAATAATTTCATCTGCTGTCTCGCATCCACACTGTTTAAATAGTTGGAAAATGGAAAACAAATTAAGTGAATCAAGTCCTTCCTAATAGGATGCTTATTAATTAAAAATTTATCAACTATAATATGGAATACGAAATAAATATTTAGCTGTCATCTTTTCAAAATGCTTGCGATTTAGCTCCCTTTTAGTAACATATTGGAGCTCAGGTGGTGCAGTGGTTAAGAGCTATGGCTGCTAACCAAAAGGTTGACAGTTCGAATCCACCAGCCACTCCTTGGAAACCCTATGAGGCAGTTCTACTCTGTTCTATAGGGTCTCTTTGAGTCAGAATGACTCAATGGCAACTGGTAGTAGTAACTGGTATTGTGGTAAGTTTGAAGCCTTTGATCTCTTCCATCAATGATCTAAATTTTAATTTGCCTTCAACTTGTTCCTGCTTGACTTGTTCCTGTTTGCTGTTGTGAAAGTGTTCTTCGTTTGGATACGCACTGGTCAATTTCAACGGCTCCTCGTTGCTGATGGTCTTTGTAATAGGAAAGACTAAAGCCCATTTCCCTACTCTTTGACAGGACGAAAAACCGCCTTTTCCAAGAGCCCTGAAAAATGAAAAGGTTTTACGTCCCAGTTAAATCTCAGGGGAAGAGAAAGGAAAAATGTTCATGAAGGTGGTGGGAGGCTTGTTAAATTTTAGCTAATACTCACCATGGAAAAGAAAAGCTGAGGGGGTGGTGATTTAATAAAGTAATCTTGTCTGCAGACTTCATTTTCATAATAAAATGTAAACTGTTTGCCTAATAAAGGAAAGTGAACAGGATTCAGTTTGTTACCAGTAAATTTCTGAAAAGAACTGCTTCAATTGGAAAACACTGTTTCTCTCAGGAAAGGTCTTCAGATCACTCAGTTATGGGGAAAAAATTATTCATTTATAATAGCCTGAAGAGACAAAGGCCCAAATGTGTGATTCTTAATTTATCCACAGCTGGGGCCTTCATTCAAACCACACTGAGAAGCACTTTAATTCATCTCACACCCTTTCAGGCTCTCTTATTTCTGGAACATTCCATGGACTCTCTAGAAGTGAGCAAAGTTTGTCTCAGTCCCCATTGCAACACCAGCCACAGGAACAAGATAATTTTGCATTGCTCTTTGGCTTAGCAAGTAAAAACAAAACCATCTGCTAAGCAGCTTTGATTTTTTTCTATATTTAAAAAAAGTCTGCAAGAATTATGTAGTACTTTCATTATTTAGAAAGACATAATTAGTGTTACTTAAATTTTTTTTTTTTTTTTTTAAGAGCCTTGGTTTTGCTTTCACATCCAGGCTGTAGTTCTATTTTGTCCTTGGTTTTGGAAAACCCAGTCTTTGCTAAAGAATCAGAGCTTCTCTATTAAGTGAAAACAGAATAAGGATTAGGTCCCTGGGTGGTGCAAATGGTTAGCGTGCTCCACTGCTAACTTAAAGGTTGGAGGTTTGAGTCTACCCAGTGGGGCCTCAGAAGAAAGAACTCTCAATCTACTTCTAAAAAATCAGCTATTGAGGAGGTGGGGCCAAGATAGTGGAGTAGTCAGATCCTTCTGGTAGTCCCTCTTACAACAAAGACCCAAAAAAACAAGTGAATCAATTATATATGACAGTCTAGGAGCCCTGAACATCAAAGGCAAAGTTGAGGAATCAGACTGAGTGGCAGGGGGAGGGAAAGACAGTTCGGAAGCAGTGAGGAGTTGTCAGACCTGACCTGGTGAGAGCCTGGATCAGCTTGTGGTGTGTGGTAAGGCAGGCAGGCAGCAGCACTCGGGAGGCATTTTCCACACTGGGAGAGACCCAGCAACAGAGAGTCTACTGGGTCATCCAGAACCAGTGAGAAGCAGCCCTCGATTGCTGAAAGCTAAGTACTTGCGTCTGGCCTACCATGTGAATCAAAAACACACCCTTTTGGGAAAAACCTCTCTCTCATTTACCTCCCCGCTCCCTGCTCTGCACTGGGTCTGGGACCGGCTTCAGCAATTGCCGAGTCCCCTGGGCCGGAAGTAGGACCTTTTACGTGCCCCGAGCCATTCTCCCAGCCTTGGAGAGGGAACAAATTAACAAACAGGGGGAAAAAAATCTGCCAGCTCCCCTAAGCCAGGAACTCAGGGTAGGCACAACTCCTTTGCCTAGGCACAGGCATAAGGGGTCCATGGACTTTGAGTGCCTTTCTCATTGCAGAGACTTTTATGGGCCCATTTCAACAGCATCGGCCCTCATTACCACAGTACAGCAGGGTATATACCTGAAGTCTAATTTCAACTGTTTCAGCTGTGAAGTGATAGGTTCCTGACATTTGACACTGCTCTGCCTATTAAGCAGGGTCTTCACCTACCACATCAGGGGCCTGAGGACTACTGGCTCCACCATGCCACCTAGCCACCTGGGACAAACCCAAGAATAAGTGGTGCCCCCCAGTCCTTACAGCCAACAGGGCTGGGTGCTCATAGTCTGGCTGCAATACCCATCCACCTAAGTGTCCTAGGGAACAGGTACATGCTTTCCTCCCAGACACTTGGGTGTGGCCATCGGCCCCCTGCCTTGCTCAGTGTGTGACCCCCTGCTGCAGCCAGATGCCTGTACCTATACCAATCACCCATGCCTGTCTAGGACTTAGGTGACAGCCTGCATCACACACTTGGTAGCTGACTGCCTGGACACCTGAGCTGAATCCATACAGGGGGAGTGGGTGGACTCCTGGGCTCACATACTTAGTGGCAGTTCTGCCCACCTGGTGGCAGGGCATTGGAGCTTCAGGGGTGCTTGTGATCAGACTAGCTCACAGAAGCAGCCTATTTGGGCATATCAAAACAAAACAAGAAGCTAGGACACTGTAAACAAGCATAAAATAAATACAATAACTTATCGATGGCTTGGAGACAACAGTCAGTATCAACTACCATAAAAAAGAAGACCATGATGGCTTCAGCAAGCTCCCAAAATAAAGAATCAAGGAATTTTCTGGATGAAGAAGATTTCTTGGAATTACCAGAGGCAGAATATAAAAGATTAATATACAGAACTCTTCAAGAAATCAGGAAGGAGATATGGCAAAATGCAGACCCAGCAATAGAGGAATTTAAGCAGATTAGAGAAGAGCCTAATGACAAATTTAATAGGCTGCAAGAATCCACAGAGAGACAGCAATCAGAAATCCAGAAGATTAACAATAAAATTTCAGAATTAGACAACTCAGTAGAAAGTCATAGGAGCAGAACTGAGGCAAAGATAGTGAGAATTAGTGAGATTGAAGATAAAACACTTGACACCAACTTATTTGAGGAATAATCAGATAAAGGGATTTAAAAAAAATGAAGAAAACCTAAAAATCATGTGGGATTCTATCAAGAGGAATAACCTATGAGTGATTGGAGTACCAGAACAGAGGGGGATAACAGAAAATACAGAGAAAATTGTTGAAGATTTGTTGGCAGGAAACTTCCCTGATATCATGAAAGATGACAAGATATCTATCCAAGATGCTCATCGAACCCCACATAAGGTAGCTCTCAAAAGAAAGTCACCAAGACATATTATAATCAAACTTACCAAAGCCAAAGATAAAGAGAGAACTTTAGGAGCAGCTAGGGAGAAACGAAAAGTCATCTACAAAGGAGAGTCAATAAGAATAAGCTCGGACTACTCAGCAGAAAACCATGCAGGCAAGAAGGCAATGGGATGACATATATAAAGTCTTAAAAGAAAAAAATTGCCAGCCAAGAATTATATATCCAGTAAAACTGTCTCTCAAATATGACAGTGAAATTAGAGCATTTCCAGACAAACAGAAGTTTAGGGAATTCGCAAAAACCAAGCCAAAATTACAAAAAATACTAAAGGGAGTCCTCTGGTTAGAAAATCATAACATCAGATAAGAACCCAAGACTAGAACACAGGACAGAACAACCAGATATCAACCCAGATAGAGAAGTCACAAAAATAAATCAAAGCTAAAACACTGAAAATACGGAAACAGAGATGTCAATATGTAAAAGATGACAACATTAAAACAAAAAGGAGGGACTAAAAAATGTAGACATAGATTTTTCATATGGAGAGGAAGTCAAGGTGATATAAGGAAACAAAAGACTGGTATAAACTTAGAAACATAGGGTTAAATATTAAGGTAACTGCAAAGGAAACTAACAATCCTACACATCAAAATAAAAAACAAGAAAAATATAAAGACTCAGCAAATACAAAATTAACAACAATGAAAAGAAAATACATAAAGAAAAATGACTCAGCCCAGAAAATTAAGTGGAACAAAGAAAGTGTCAACAACACACACAAAAAGACATTAAAATGACAGCACTAAACTCATACCTATCAATAATTACACTGAATGTAAATGGACTAAATGCACCAACAAAGAGACAGAGAGTGGCAGAATGGATTTAAAAAACACCATCTGTCTATATGCTGACTATAAGAGACACACCCTATACTTAAAGACACAAACATACTAAATTCAATGGATGGAAAAAAATATATATCAAGCAAACAACAATCAAAAAAAGAGCAGGAGTGGCAATATTAATATCTGACAAAATAGTCTTTAAAATAAAATCTACCACAAAGCATAAGTAAGGACACTATATAATGATTAAAGGGTCATACACCAGGAGGACATAACTATAATAAATACTTATGCACCCAACAACAGGGCTCCAAAATACATAAAACAAACTCTAACAGCATTGAAAAGAGAGATAGACAGCTCCAGAATAATAGTAGGAGACTTCAACACACCACTTTCAGTGAAGGACAGAACATCCAGAAAGAAACTCAAGAAAGACATGGAAGATCTAAATGCTGCAATCAACCAACTTGATCTCATGGACATATATTGAACACTGTACCCAACAGCAGCCAAGTATACTTTCTTTTCCAAGGCACATGGAACATTCTCCAGAAAAGACCACATATTAGGCCATAAAGCAAGCCTTAACAGAATCCAAGCCATTGAAATATTGCAAAGCATCTTTTCTGACCATAAAGCCATAAAAGTATAAATCAATCACATAAAAAACAAGAAAAAAAAATCAAACAGATGGAAACTGAACAACACCTTGCTCAAAAACTACTGGGTTATAGAAGAAATTAAGAATGGAATCAAGAAATTCATAGAATCAAACAAGAACAAAAA